TTACCCCATGAGGCGAAATCCTGCATGAAGATCCAGACCGAGATCGATTGATGGTTATTTTGTATTTCTTCCATTTGCGAATAATCACTCCAACAGTTGTCTCCTCCTCACCAATCTTCTTGCTGATGGTCTTGTTGCCCTTTCCAGCCTTGTGCAGGTCTACAGTCTTGCCCCTGACATACTTTGACTGCTCTTTAGTCTTGCCCATCGTGGTGCTCAAGAAAGAGATTCTTGGACAGGTGTCTTTTATACACATATGTTGTCGTTAGGAGCACCTTCTGAAATTGACAGGACTAATCTGTGTACCACATGAGCACATAGCCAGTCTGTGGGAGCCAGAATTATTGTTGGTTGGTAGGGGATCAAATACTTATTTTATTCACTGAACTGCAACTCAATTTTTAACATTTGTATTGTGGGTTTTTTTCCGGGTTTTTGGTTGATATTCTGTCTCTATCATTTAAAATGCACCTATGATATAAAAATTATAGACCCTTCATTTCTTTGTAAATGGCCCAACTTACAAAATCTGTGGGGCATCAAATAATTAATTTCCAAACTGTAGCTACTCAAAAGTTGTAAGTGACCAATGAGTTTGTTTTTGTGATCTGGCCTTATAAGACCCCTAGTGCTGAAAGTCCTTATGTTTGTTGGAGTTGTTCATCATTGAATGCTTGGATCCTAGTGTTCAGAGATCATGGATCTTTTTTGCTGCCAGCTCAAGCATTGGAAAACAACCATGCCTCTTAGAGACTAAAGTTTCAAATTATGTAATTCTTTTGATATAAAAACATTTTTTGTACAGTTTGACAGGTATGTATAGAAACATTATTTTTCAGTAGCTAGCAGATACTATTAACAACAAACAATGTGCTAATTATTTTTTTATTAGCTTTAATATGTTTTCATCTCCGTTATTTGTAAAACATGTTTCATGCATTCTTGCAGTTCTGTAACATTAATCTGAATCCAATACATTTTCTTGACAATGCTTCTAGAATAGTTTGCAGGAAACACAATAGTAGGTACTGATCGTCTAAGGAGTTATAAATAGACTAATGCGAGTGCTACACAAGAAAGTACACAGCGACAGTTCTAATTATTATATTTTCCTGCTCTGCTAGTCTGAAGGGTTGCAATTAAATCTCTGCTTAAACTACATTAAAAGGCAGCATTCTGCACCTGCTCTTTGAGTACACAAGTGGGAGTTACGGACTTTAAATGAAGGTGTATTATGTCTGGTAAATCAGGCCAAAGGTAATATCCATTTCATGGCATATAGCGTTCAAAAGAGAAAAGCCTAAAATATATAAGAAATAATTAATTGCTACATGCATTTAAATGTTTTACAAGAAGACTTCTTGATAAAATGTACCATCTAGAGCAGGAGTGTCAAACTCCATTACATCACGGGCCGTATCAGCATTATGGTTGCCCTCAAAGGGCCGGCAGTAGTATATGTAAGACTAGATGTCCAGAGCACCCCACCCCCATTACATCAGAAGTCAAGGATCCCACACCCTCCCTAACATCACCGTGCACTCCCTTTGGGGGCAGAGCTGGAAAGCAGAACGTACAGGGTCTAGAGGAGGACCAGAGGAGGAGTGGAGTCAGTTACCAGAGTCTGCTGAATGCTGAGACCAGTGGAGGCAGATATGAGGGAGTGCTAGAGCTGCACTGAGAGATGCAGGACTTAGCAGAGGAGTTCCATTCTCCTCTCTGCTGCCGACTGCTGAGACAAGGTGGGGCGGAGACTAGGGGGGTACCTGCGGGAGAGGTGGAAGAGCCACATGAAATGGCCTGGAGGGCCGGATTCAGTCCACGGGCCTTGTTTGACACCTGTGATCTAGATAAAGATGTCCAGTATGTTGGGTCTGTGAAATTGCATAACATGGATGTGTGATGTGTACATCTTATGTACCCCCATAATATTTAGATACCTCCCATTTCTGTATATGATTTTGTTGCCTAACTTTTTTTTAAATTTATTTTAAACCTATTTATATTCTTAGACCTCATATAGGTTTATTTATATACTGCTTTTTATGAAACCTATTCTATTCTGACATTCACTGGTTGTGCTGTACGGGTGGTATTTCACCTACCCCTGGCCCTAATACCCTGGCAGAACAGAACATTGTATAACAGATAAAATAGGTGCAGCGCTACACCTATTTTATCTGTTATACTATTTTGAAGGGTTTTATTTGGTTACCTTTGGTGTCTTAGCTGCTGATTTTGAGGAGCGCTCACTTTCCTTTTAGAACAGAACATTGGACTACTGATATGAGATGATTTTTTTGATATGAGATGCGTATTTTGTTATGAACTAGTACATAACTATGGTAAACATGATGTAATTGGGCTGAAAGGGTTGATATCACTGCACCAGAAAGGCCCAGGAACAAGCGCATCTAATAGTACCCTGCTGTAATGGATCTTAAACTTCTGTGGAATATATTGATGACAAGGCTCTGAAGTACTGGGTGACCTTAATAAATGCCTGCTCTTATAATTTTTTTATACTGTATATTACAAATTACACTGGCAGTATCAGTTAAAACCATATTATAAAAATGGAAATCAAAACATTTTATTTGGGGAACCAGTTATTAATAACAATCAGCATTAGACGTATCTGTGACCTCTTTGGAATTTATTTTAACATAACTTCATATATTTTCTTCCAGCTCAGCATTATAAATTCATTTCAGATAACAAGCATGTGCAATGTCAAATCAGGGAGTTGAACCCTCGTGCAATTTGAGCTAGAAGAAAGAATCTAGGTTTGCTATTATAGCATTCCTTTTTTCTTTTTAGATGTACCGGTATATAATTTGAAAAGTAAGTTCAACGTTCAAAGAAGAGAAAATGAAGGTCTTCAGGACCCCAAGGTAGAGAATGTAAGCCCCCTATTCTACCACTGCACTTAATGGTATATACACTTTCTAGAGCAAGGAGTGTTTAAAGTTGGCATCGCCAACCTTAGCCTGTGAATTTTCTCATACTACCTTCATCATTACGCCCGGAGCAGCAATACCCCTTCATCATGGCGCCCGGAGCAGCCGCATGACCGCCAGCTCCAGCGCCCCCTGCACTCCATCCGCTGCCATCCTCCACCACCTGGGCCCCTGAGCTGCCACCGAGGTCCCCACCAACACCCTGAAGGGGCCCTGGACACTCCGGCAGAGCTCCGGTGGGCCGAGGCGGCTTGAGGCCTACCATGGCACCCAAAGCCGTGGTGTTTCCTGCCGGCTGTGGCCGGAATCGCGGTGAGGATCACGGCTGCGGCGGGACGCCTCCGCTCCTCCGGGGAAGCTGCCACCATTCCCACCGGTCCTACTGACACCCAGGAGGGGTCCGCTGCCATCCTGATCTTCCGGGACACCAGGTACTCTATCAGGGGCACTAACTACCCCACCAGGGAGCCCAGGCGGCATCACACCGCTAGCCACCAGGGACACAAACAGGGTCACCCACTACCCACCAGGGACTGCAAACCACCAGGGACCTTAGGCTACTATCCCACCAGGGATCGCAAGCCCACCATCCCACCAGGGATCGCTAACCCACCACCCAACCTGGGATCGCACGCCCACCACCCCACCAGGGACTGTAAGCTCACCACCCCGCGCTGTCCCTCCGGCGGAGATCTGGAAACTAGTGGACTACCATGACCCCTGAAGCCGCGGCTTTCCTACCGGCCGCGGCAGACCAGAGAGGACCGCGAACCGCGGAGGGCCGAGGATCGTCGCCGAGATGCCCCGCCCTGGGCTCCGCAGATACAAGCAGCAACTACCCCCACTGGCACGGAGAGGGTAAGCCGCCATCGGCTCCGAGTGGGTAAGCCACTGCTGCCACATCTGCTCCCCACTGTGCTCCACTCAGCCGTGCCCCTGCCACCGCACAGCCCTAAACCCCTGCCATCCGGCGGAGGTGCCCACCAATGCCAGCCCATTCCACCTCCGGAACATCGGCCCACAGCACCTCCAGACGTCGGCCTACACCACCTCCTGCCGCCAGGCCTCTAGCACCTCCTGACGCTGGGCCTTCAGCACCCCTGACACCGGGCCTTCAGCGCCCCTGACATCGGGCCCTCAGCAGCACCCCTGACGCCAGGCCTTCAGCACCCCTGACGCCGGGCCCTCAGCACCCCCTGACACCGGGCCATCAGCACCCCCTGACGCTGGGCCTTCAACACCTCCTGTCACCGGGACCTCGGCACCTCCTGACACCGGACCCTCAGCTCCTCCCGATGCCAGGCCCTCAGCACCCCCCGACGCCGGGCCCTCAGCACCTCCGGACGCCGGCCCTCATCACCTCCCAATGCCGAGCCCTCAACAACTCCTGACGCCGGGCCTTCAGCACCCCCCTGACGCCAGGCCTACAACACCTCCAAACACCACTCCCCACGGCTCATCCAGTCGCCGAACCACTGTACCCACTGACGCTGTGGCCACAACACCCACGGACGCCGGCCTACAGCACCCACAGACTGAAACCAGCCAGCTGCGGCCCCAGCCGCCCACTACTCCCACTCCCCTCCTACGATTGGACACTGATGAACACTGATGATCTCCGACATGGCATAACGGACTCTCCCCATCCTCACGTCCTGACCGAAACCTCCCTCCCCCCCCCCCCACCCCACCAGCACTCCACTCACCATAGCATGCCACCTGCACTCCTCCTCCTCGTTCTCTCCTCTCCTCCATTCCCAAACTTGCCTCCCTCTACCCCCCTACTCCCCCAAAACAGCTCTACATTGCACCCTCACTTCTTCCTTCTCCCCTCTACGGCTCACACCACCTCCTCCTGATACTCCACTCCTCCGCCGACCCACACACTACCAGCAACAGACCCACACGCTCCTGCACATCCTGTTCCCATGCCACCTTCCTCACCCTTCTAACCGCCGGAGACATCTGCCCGAACCCTGGCCCCCCACCTCCCCACTCCCCCACTCGGCACCCCCCTACTCCCAACAGCCACCGCAACCCCCTCAACCTCATATCTGTCCCCCTCCTCCCCACATCCACCCCTCCTCTCTCGGTTGCACTCCTGAACGCCCGCTCGGTTTGCAACAAGCTCACCGCCATCCACGACCTCTTTGTCTCCCACTCCCTCAACCTCCTAACTCCACCTCCCCTGCAGCACTCTCCTATGGAGGTCTCGTCTGGACCCACTCACCCAGACCGAGCGGCCGCAGAGGCGGTGGGGTCGGTATGCTCCTGCCACCGCTGAGCACCTTCCAGGTCCTCCCTAACCCCCCCTCCCTATCCTTCTCCTCCTTCGAAGCCCACTGCATCTGGCTTTTCTCTCCCACCCCCCTGAGGATTGCGGTAATCTATCGGCCTCCTGGTTCCGCATCCCTCTTCCTAGACGACTTTGCCATCTGGCTTCCCTTCTTCCTCTACTCCGAGCAACCGACCATCATCCTAGGGGACTTCAACATCCCCATCAATGCCAACAGCCCAGCTACTTTTCAACTCCTCCTCCTAACCTCCTCCTTCACGCTCACACAGCACACACAGTCCTCCACCCACACCAATGGAAACACCCTGGACCTCGTCTTCTCCCACCTCTGCACCCCCTGCGACTTCACTAACACCCCCTTCCCCCTCTCTGACCACCACCTCCTCACATTCTCCATCTCCCCCTCCCTTAAGTCCCCCCCCCCCCCAAAGCGTCTAACCATCACCCGCAACCTCCGCAATCTGAACCCGACCCATCTCCACCTGGCAGCTGACCGTCTGTATGACAGTATCCTCCCTCTGTCATGCCCTGACCTGGCCACTACTGTGTACAACGACTCACTGTCGGCTGCCCTCGACTCCCTGGCACCCCTAACCACGCGTAACACTAGACCCCGACCGCTTCAACCCTGGCAAAACGATCATACGAAACGTCTCAAACGAGCACTTATGGAGCAAAACCAGATCCCCTCGTGCGTTCTCCCTCTACAAAGCCGCCTTCCTCACCTACACCACCTCCCTCCACGCCGCCAAGCAAGCCTATTTCGTAACCCTTATCAACACCCTTTCCACCTGTCCTCGCCGGCTCTTCTCCACTTTCAAATCCCTGCTCCCCCCCCCCCCCCCCACCACCTCCACTCAGCACCTCTCTCACCACCCACGAGATTGCCAGTCATTTCCAAAACAAGATTGACGCAATCCGTAAGTACATTGTCAACTCACAATCTACCTCTCCACCCAGCCCCCCGCCCTCCATCATCCCCTCAACCCTCCCCTCCTCCGACCTCATAGCCACACTACCCCCCACTATGCCCAATGCCCCGCACACTATCACCTCCCCAACACTCCGCTCCTTCAGCCCAGCTACCCCTGAGGAGGTCTCTAAGGTCTTCACCGAAGCCCGCCTCACCACCTGCCCCCTGGACCCTATCCCCTCACAGCTCCTCCAGTCAGCCCCCCCTCCATCATTCGCTCCACACCCGCATCTTCAATCTCTCCCTCTCCACTGGCACTTTCCCCTCTAAAGCACGCGCACATCACACCCATACTCAAAAAACCCTCCCTTGACCCCACTGACGTGAACAACCTTAGACCCATCTCCCTGCTACCATTCACTTCCAAGCTCCTTGAGCGCCTGGCCTACAATCGCCTAAGTGCCCACCTCACTGACAACAACCTCCTTGATTATTTACAGTGTGGCTTCTGTCCCCTACACTCCACCGAAACCACCCTACTTAAAATCACCAACGACCTGATAATCGCCAAAGCTAATGGCCATTACTCTGTCCTCCTGCTCTGTTGGAGTCCCCCAAGGCTCTGTCCTTGGGCCCCTTCTCTTCTCCATCTACACCTCCTCCCTTGGCAAACTAATACACTCCCACGGCTTCAATTACCACCTCTATGCTGACGACACACAAATTTACCTCTCCACCCCCCATCTCACCCTCTCTCTCTCCGCCCGCATTGCCCACCTCCTGAACAACATATCAGACTGGATGTCGCTCCATTTCCTCAAATTAAACCTGTCCAAAACCGAGCTCTTGGTCTTCCCCCCACCCCGTGCCCCCCCCATCCTCTCCATCACTACTAACAACGCCACCATCACTTCCACCCCACATGCCAAAGTCCTGGGTGTCACCCTGGACTCGAACCTTTCCTTCCTACCTCACGTCCAATTACTATCAAGATCATGCAGGCTCCACCTCCGCAACATCTCCAAGATACGTACATTCCTCACCCCAGACACTACTAAACAACTCGTACACTCCCTCATCATCTCACGCCTGGACTACTGCAACTCCCTTTTCACTGTCCTACCCAAACAAACACTATCTCCACTCCAGTCTATCCTGAACTCAGAGGCTAGACTCATCCACCCCACCAACCGCTCCATATCTGCCACCCCCCTCTGCCAATCCCTTCACTGGCTCCCGATTGCCCAGTGCATCAAATTCAAACTGCTAACTCTGACCTACAAAGCCATTCACAACGCAGCCCCAAACTACCTAACCGACCTGATACCCAAATACTACCCTACCCGTGCCCTTCGCTCCTCACAGGACCTCCTTCTCTCTAGCTCCCTGATCTCCTCCTCCCACGCCTGATTGCAGGATTTCTCCAGGACTTTCCCCATCCTCTGGAACTCCCTACCCCAACCCATCAGACTGTCACCTACCCTCCTCACCTTCAGGCGCACCCTGAAAACCCACCTCTTCAGGGAAGCCTACCCCACCCTCACCTAACAACTGACCTCCTCCACTCCTCCCACCACTCCATCCCCCACAGCCATTTCCTTCTGTACCACTTTCCCCTCCCTCCTAGATTGTAAGCTCTAAAGAGCAGGGCCCTCAAATCCTTCATGTATTGTATTCTCTCTGTCTTGTCTCATGTTCTGTCCCCCTTGCTATTGTACAGCGCTGAGCAAACCCTTTGGCGCTATATAAATACTGTATAATAATAAAATAATAATACTACATGTGTCACTTTTCCATTTTCACTAAGTATTCATGCTAGTTATATACATGCACTGTGTGGTTTAATCACATACAGTATTTTTGGGTTTTTGAACATTAAGATTCTTCTGTAAGTATGTTGTGAGCCTGAAACAAATACAAGCTGTGCTTCTTCCCTTTGCAACTAATCATTTTCTGGCTTCCTAGCAGTAGAAAAGGGATAAGTTAATTGGCAAAGTGGAGTGGAGTGGCGTTTTTATGTAGTAATTTATCAAAAATAGTGTGATTGCATTGTGCCATGTGGTCTAGTAGTAGGTAAGTTTTCATATAAATTCATAGTGTTTCAAATTTCAACTAAAGTCACTTGATAAAGTGGTCACGGCATACACTTTCATTTTACAACCTCAGCTTGTAATAGCAAACAATAGTTATTTTAATAGATACAACTCTCCTTTCACATTGGGAGTTCTGCCTGTCTGCTGGCCATCTTCTCCACAACTTCCTGGGTTCTCTGCATGCTTTGCAGCTTCTCCGCTGCTGTTTACGTTGAGTTTGTAAGGACTAAATATCCTATGGTAGTCTTGTTGTCTGCAACTAGTGATTCCCGTACTAGTTTTGGCTCCTGAAACTCCTCCTCATAGCACCTCTGTAGTTCAGAAGGCAGGCTCTGTAAAATATTTCATATAGCAATGCCTACTCACAGAGAAGAGTGAATACATGTCATAAACTTTAGGAAAGTAAATGTGTGGGGAACTTAAAGCGGACCTTTATCCAAAAGGGGAAGTCCTGCTTGTTTGCATCGTCCCCCCTCCACTGCAACATTTGACACTTTTTGGGGGGGGGAGGGGGGAGCAGGTACCTTTCAAAATGTCCGGGTCTGTCCCACTTCCAGGTCTGATTGCTGCAGTGATCTTTGAGGAAGTTCAGCCCCTCCTCCTTCCCCATGCAGCCTTCTGGGACAAATCACAGGTCCCAGAAGACTGAAGGACCATTCATAAAGCACAAGGCGGCATGCACATGTGCAGTAGGAAGCCAGCCGTGAAGCTGAAAGGACTTCACTGCCTGTTTCCCTTACCTAAGATGCTGGCATCTGCACTCAAAGCCAATTCAAGAATCGGCTTGGGTAAGGACATCACTGGATCCCTGGACAGGTAAGTTTTCTTATAATAAAAGTCAGTAGCTACAGTATTTGTAGCTGCTGACTTTTAATTTTTTTGGAGGAGACTGGAGCTCCGCTTTAACAAAGTATATGTACAAACTCCAATATCCTTCAGATTAATAAGAGTAGGCTAGAATATTTGAAATACAGTGTGGAAATGAATATAATATTTTATATATTGACCATACTGCAGGTATGTTTAACTGTCAGCAGTGTGCTGAATATCAGTAATTATATTCTCCATAATTAGAAGAGGTCACTATTGAAGAAGACCTTTCCTCTTTAGTTTAAACGTAGAACAAATGAGTATCCCCACAATTGCCTAGATATGAACAAGAGTACATATGGTTCTGCAATTAAGCACTCAGAAAGAAGTTTGATAGAGTATATTCAATTGGGCAAAATTGCTGTTTTAGCTTATATAGCCTATTAAGCTCCTGAGATGTCCAGGCATGGCATTACCAATTTTAAAAATGAGAGAAAAATTGTGATTATGAAATTTGTAACATATTCTATATTTCTATGTATTCTGTATTCACTGTCCATTTGGACCTTTATTATTTTAGAGGAAAAGCAAGATGAATATCGATACTGCCATTGATATACTAAATAAACAGACTATAACATTCATTCACAAAGCTGTGCATATTATGGTACAGATAATATTATTTTGATTACAATTTTTGCATCAAAATGTTCAATTTGCAAAAATATCACATTGGTGTAGGATTGTCATTTTCCCCACAGGAAATAAACTGTTTTCTAATGGGTTTTTTTCCCCATGGTTTGGTAATATCTTCACCTGGAATGGCTCATTACTCTGTTCTCAGACACCTCATAGCAATTTACTGTCAACACCAGCCAGAAGATAGTATTTATGACAATAAATAAATACAATTTTTGAAAATGATCTTTTACACACAGACTGCTGCAAAAGTTATTAATATAACATACATGCTTTAATTTCAGCAGATACTTGCAATTATAACCTTTAGGTAATTGTATAAAAATGTAATTGTTACAATTAATTATTATTATACAGGATTTATATAGTGACAACAGTTTGCACAGAGCTTTACAAATTTGATTCAGAGATAGTAACGGAATATACCGTATACAGTACATTCTTTTCTGAATTGACAATAAAGGGGGTAATGGTGGTGGTATATACATGTAATTTAGCGCAATTTAACAATATAATTGGGCTTTAATCAAAGCTGCAT